GACACCGCAGACCCGGGCTGGGCAGCCCATCGTGTTGCCCCTCTTTGTCACCAGGGCTAAAGGATAATAAGGATAACCCCTAACCCTGCTGCCCTGGGCTCTGGGCACCCCTGCATAGGGCATTTCCCCATGGCAAAAGCTCACTGCAGAGCGAAGTGAGATGGCTGGAGAGGGCATGGACGGCCAGGTAGCAGATGGCACCTGTTTCCCTGAATCCTCTGTTGTTACCTTCAGAGCTGGGTAAAAGCAGGGGGGACACACACGTGCTCCCCAGACAGGCTGGGGGTCCTGCGTCCCGGTGCCATGCACCCTCTTCCTCATGCTCTTTGCTGCCACCAGCCCCAGGGACATGACAGGCTTGTTACCAAGACCCATTTAGTGCAGGGGTCAGTGACCATTAAAGAAAGGGGGTGGGTGCTTCCCGAGCCCCCGTGCAGCACCCTAGCCCTCCCAGGCCTGTATTGCAACCTCTGCCTGGAGCTGCTTTGATGGAAGGTCACACGTGCCCCCAGGGCCATGGGCACCGTTCATCTCAGCCCAGAAACAGTCCTGCCTACGTGCAGGGGGACACTGGCATGGACACCGGTTCTCCCAGACACGGTCAGTGCAATCCCTGTGAGATGCAGGAAAGCTCCTGTCCCCAGCCCCCTCTTCCACAGTCCTCTTCTCCCAGCTGACAGGATCCCAGCTTCAAAGTCAAGAGGGCGTCCAGTCCCAGGCTTTGCCCACTGTCCCCACCCCAGCCCAGACGGACCTGCCCGGCCCATCCTTGGGAAGCTCCAGGGATGACTTTCCTCCACTTTCTGAGGTGTCTTGGAAGAAGTCTCTTCCGTTCCCTGCAGCAGACCTCGGACGTGAGAGCTTGGCCCCGAATGGAGCCGAGAGGAGAACTTTGCGTGTGATTTCCGTGGGTCCAGGATCTCACCCCAGCCGCAGCTGACACTTGATCCCAGAGCAAACAGGCCCCTGCATCACATCCTGCTGGGCCCCTGGACTCGCCTGGGTGTGGAGATTTGCATTTCTCAGCACGAGCCTCCACCTCAGCTCCCCGGAGCTCCCCTTGCAAGGGCCGAGGCACCACAAGGGATGGCCATGGACCTCACTGGCCTCCTCCTGCCCTGCTTTCTGCTGCTGGCCTCCAGCTGCCAGCTCCGGGATCTCCGAGAAGATGTTCCCAGTGCCGTGAGTCCCCCCTTTATGCTGGGGTGCAGCATTTCCCTCTAGGCGCGGACATGGGCGTGCTCCAGACAGGGAGATGGTGCACGGGGTGCTCTGCAGGATGCATGCGCCTCTTTGCAGCCACGGCTCCTGGGGGCACAGAGGAGCTGGGAGGGCTGGGGGCAGCAGGGCAAGTGTGAGCCCCAGAGCAACAGTGAGTGGGAGGTGTGGGGGGCACGGTTGGGGCAGGGTGGGGGCAGAGGAGGTACAAAGAGGGGGTTGCAATCCTGGCACAGCCTGCTCCGGCCTCCCCAGGGAGCCCAGTGTGTCGTGAGCTCTTGTTTCTGCTCCCCTGGGATGAGCCTTGTTTCACAGACGGGAAACTGAGGTAGGAGTTTCCAGGCTCCCATGAGCAGCACAGAGGATCCTAGCGATGTTCCCAATTCCGGTTCTGGGACAGGCTGGGCCAGGAGCAAACACTAAATGGGTCGGACCCAGCTCCCTGCATCCATCCTGCCCTATGGCCCGCAGCTGTGAGTGCCCCTGGTTTCCCTGCATGCAGGAAAGATGAGACTCCGGACGTGGAAATGGTCAGGGAAGGGATAGAGCCTGGAGGGGAGGCGAACAGCATGTGAGATACCCCCTTGCCCCACAGTGCAGGGGCAGGGCTGGCCGCTGCCTTCCCCACAGCTCTTTTACACCTGCAAGGACCTCAGTCACGGCACGGGTGTGGGTGGGCACCGATGACACTTGCTCCAAGGGAATCGCACCCCTTGACCTGTGACCCCAGCTCGCATGCGGCTCTTGCCCTTCCACAGAGCCCTGGTGGGGAGCACGTGTCCGGGAGCCCCCGAGGACGAGCCAGGAGGGCAGCTGGTGAGTGGGGCAGGGGAAGGGGCTGGATGCAATGGTCAGACCCCGTGCATGAATGACAAGTGAGAGAAAACATTGGGCAGGCATCCCCATGCGAGAGGCGGGGAAACTGAGGCATGAAGCGATCAGGTGACTTGCCCAGGGTCACACCGGGAGCCGGTGGTAGAGGTGGGGTCTGCACCCAGGTGCTGGAGTGCGGAGCTGGTCCCCTGAACCCCCCGGGAATGCTTCCCTCCCCCCCCTGGATGATCTATAGGAGCCTAATAGAGGCAGATAAGACCCCCCGGTCTCTCCAGGCTGGTTCCCTCCGTCCGTCACACCAGTGCCGTGGGGTGGCTATGTGGGGGAGCCATGGAGCTCGCAGCCCCTGCACTGCACCCTGCACCGGTGGGGGTGTCTCGTTGTCATTGCAGACACCGTCAGCGTCGCTGCATACGTGCGACTGACCCTGCTGGTCTCAGGCGCGACCAGCTCTGCCCAGCTCCAGCTCCTCTTCGGTGCTGTGCCCATGCCCAAGCCGTTGGCATCCCTCACGGGCAACGTCACAGCCATGGCCATCACCACCGGTCAGCAGCTGATGGGCTCTGGGGGGGACCCATCATCCAGGCCTCCCGTGCCCTGCCAGCCCCCAGGGCTCCAGGGAGCAGGTGCCAGGCTCGGGGCCGGTCCTCACCCACTGCTTTGTGCCCCCAAGACTGCAGCCAGGCGCAGAACGGGAGCCGGGACTGCCGGTGCCTGCCGGGCTATGGCTGGAGCGGGGACCTGTGCAGCCAGGCCTCTCCTTGCGCTGGGCTCGACTCTTCCCTCGCGCCCTGCAGCTGCCTCCGCTGGACGTCCAGCAGCACCGGATACTGCCAGCCGCCGCCGCCCGGAACAGGCGAGCTCCCCCAGCCCCGAGCACCTTGCGCAGGGGGTCTCACGCCCGAAACAGGCGAGCTCCCCCAGCCCCGAGCCCCTTGGGCAGGGGGTCTCTGGGCCGAGGGCCTTCCCGATCTGCCCGCGGACCAGAGGGCACTGAGTCGCGGCAGGGCCTGACCTGCGGCTTCTCCTTCCAGATGCACCTGACTCCACACTGGCACCCCAGGCAACTCCAGCAGGGGGCACCCTCACCGTCTCAGTGACCAATGAGACGCCAGCAGGGGGCACTCTTACCGTCTTGGCGCCCAATGAGACGCCAACAGGGGGCACTCTTACCGTCTCGGTGCCCAATGAGACGCCGGCAGGGGGCGCCCCCCTGGTCTCCATTCTGCCCCCAGTGCAGACCTCAGCAGGAGTTGGCCTGACGCTCTCCTTCCCGCTGGGGCCGGGGGCTGTGGACGTGCAGTGGCTCCTGGTCAGCCCGGGGGGCGGCTTGGGGATGGAGCTCCACAATGGGACGCAGGTGACGCTGGTCGTGAACGGCTCTGAGGCCATCCTGAGGGTCACGTCCGTCTCCTCCGACTGGGCAGGTACCCCCTGTTCCCCACCCACACGCCCTGCCGGAGTAGGACCGGCGAGGTGATGGGGCACTATTCCCCTCTGCAAAGGAGCCCGTGTCGGGGATCTCATGGGTGGAAGGGGCTGGGTGCAACATTGGCCACCCCTGCGTGGAAGCAAGGGCCAGGCTGGGACGGGGGACACAGGCACAGCCAGGGAGAGCAGGCTGCCCCGTGGGTGACGCTGGCCCCGTGCCCGGCAGGGCTGTACGTGTGCCAGTACATCATCATGAGCACCTTGCACCAGCTGCAGCAGCGCGTGGTCGTCGCTCCCAGCCCTGCAGACCTTGCCCAGACCCCGGCACAGGTGTCCATGAACTGCAGCTCCGCAGCCGGGCTCGCGCTGCAGTGCTGCATCCGCAACACGGGCCAGGCCTACAGCGTGGCCTGGAGCCCCGGGCCGGCCCAGCCAGGTGCGTGCTGCATGCAGGGGCTGGGTGGGGGTCCCGGGGAGCTGCCAGGTTGCATCGGTGCCAAGGTCCCCAGAGGCTGCAGCCTCGCAGCTTGCTCTGCTTTCCAGCCTCGCGTTGTCTGTCTGCAAGGTTTCACCCCAGATAATTTGTCCCTCCTCACTCACAGCTCTGGAGGGCGTTAATTAGATAACCAGAGCCCCGATCCCAGCCCCCGTGGCACACGCAAGCCCCTTCCCCTGGTCATGCATGCTCCCACGTGTGCATCGCATCACCAAACGACTCCCGTTCCATCGCAGAGGCGCTGATGGGTGACACAGACCCCCTGTGCCACACGCTGGTCCTGGCCACCTGCCCTAGCCAGGACACCACGTACCAGTGCACCTTCACGGGTGAGGGGCCAGGATCCGCGCAGAGCCTCGTGACCGTCTCTGTCCTACAAGGTGCGGGGCTCAGAGGGCGGCAGGTTCGCTGGCTGGGGGCTCAGGTCCACCCCAGGGGCCTGATCCTAACCTGACCCCTAGCTCCGCCGGCATCGGTCCCTGGGGTTCAGCCATCACTGCCTCCTCCTCCCTATGTGCCCCTGTAGCCGGGGACCTCTTCTGCCCCCAAGACCACAGCCGGGGCACGTGGGGCACCACCAAGGCAGGGCGCGTGGCCGAGACGTGGTGCCCGGAGGGCAGCACCGGGATACTGCGAAGGACCTGCACACCTGAGGGGACTTGGGGGGCCGTGACAAGCCAATGCACCTCGCAGGAGCTGCTGGCTGGACTACGTCGGGCCCGGGTGAGTCCCTGGACCCCACTTGCCGCACCGAGCTCATCTGCCCCATGGGGCCTGGGGCCTCTCCCTTCGAAAGAGACAGCCCCTGCTTTGCAATCACTCCCCAGGCCCTCAGCTCCCTTGTGTGCTGGGCTGTTGCCCACAGGAGCTTCGCAGAGAGGAGCATGGCCATGATCCTGGGGGAAAATGAGGCAGAGAGAGGCGCTGGGTGCTGGGGATGGGACTGGGCTGTGCCAATTCTCCAGCTGGCACCAACCCCGCAGGGTCCTGGCTGGAGGATCTCGCCCCTCTGCTCAGGCTCAGCCGGCAAGAGTGGGGTCAAGATCCCCCGGGCATCCCAGGCAGCCACGTGCCTCTGCAAAAGGTGCTTGTTGGCTCCAGAAAGGTGAGGGGCTGTGTCCTCCCCGGGGTCATGCCAGCTGCCAGGACCGGAGTTGCTGCCCAGCTCAGGACTGGGCCCTGGGGCAGTGTCCAAGGCTCCCTCATCATCCCCCCTGGGCCCTTCCCTCGCACACACCCACTCGGAGGACCGTGCCCCCGCAGCTGCTCCTGGCGGGGCTGGGCAGCCCCCGGCGCGAGCTGGCCGAACTCATCGAGTGGCTGCGGTGGGAGACGGAGCCCAGCCGGGGCCTGATGAACAGCTCCCTGGACCTGCTGGCTCTGGCAACCGTGGCAGACACCATCGCCCACATTGCCGTGGACACCGGCACGCGTCTCAACCACAGCAGCGTGGCCGTGAGTACCAGATCGGGGCCAGCCTGGGCTGTAGCGGGGCGAGACGTCTTGCTTCGTGCAGGTGGGAAGGGGCTACTAGGCTCGAGGGGACTGAGGGAAGGGGAAGGGGAGCAGGAGGTGGCACAAGACAGGCCAAGCTTTCAAGGATGGTGGGGCCAGTGCGAGTGTCTCCGTGCTTGCAGAGCTTCCTGGTGGCCGCCAGCCAGCTGCTGGACGTCTCCACCATGCCCCTGTGGTCAGAGGCCCAGGCCTGGGTGCCCTCCCTGCCCTCCAGGTTCCTGCAGGCCATTGAAGGCATCACCGGGCATCTGCAGCGCACTCCAGGAAACTTCAGCCTGGCCCTGCCCAACCTGGAGCTGCAAGGAGCCACGCTGGAGCCCACGGCCCTGAGCGACTACGACAAGGCCTTCACCACACGGCCGCCACTCCGCGTCCATATTGCCAAGGCAATGCTGGAGGCGCTGGTGCCGCCGGGTGCCAACGTCACAGTCACCAGCATGGTGCTGAAGACACTGGGGGCTGTCCTCCCTGGACACTACGCCCCGGACCTCGGCAATGGGAGCTTCACCCTAGCCAGCCTGGTGCTGGCCAATGCCATCGTGGCCAACAACGGCAGCGTGAGCCAGGCCCAGATCAACATGACTTTTGGGCATTGGGAAGGGCTGGGGGACGGGGGTGGGCAGACACCACAGTGTGTCTTCTGGGACCACGGGTTGTTCGAGGGGGCCGGGGGGTGGTCCTCCGAGGGCTGCCGAGCCACGGACGCAGGTCCCGGTGCCTCCACGCGCTGCCTGTGCCAGCACCTGACATCCTTTTCCATCCTCATGTCCACCCGCCACGTGGCCGACGGCTTCTGGCTAAGCTTCCTGAGCCAGCTGGGGGTCTGCGCCTCCATTGCGGCCCTGCTGCTCTGCCTGAGCATCTACCGCCTGGCCTGGCCCACCGTGGTGCGGAGCAAGGTCTCCTACTTCCGCTACATGACGCTGGTCCAGATCTGCCTGTCCCTGCTCCTGGGCAACCTGTGGTTCGTGGGCGGTGCCCGCCTGGCCGCGGAGGGCTGGGGGGAGCTGTGTATGGCAGCCGCCTTCTTCATGCACTTCTTCTACCTGGCCACCTTCTTCTGGATGCTGGTGCAAGCCCTCATGATCTTCCACCAGCTAGTCTTCGTCTTCCACCAGCTGGCCCGCGCCTCCATCACCCCCTTCATGGTAACCGTCGGCTACCTGTGCCCGCTGGCGATCGCCGTGGCAACCGTGGCGGTGTACCACCCCCGGCAGCAGTACCTGCACCCCGCTGCCTGTTGGCTGAGCGGATACAGCGGGGCCGTCTACGCCTTCTCGGGGCCGGTGCTGCTGGTCGTCCTGGCCAACCTGCTGATCCTGTTCGTGGTGGTGATGAAGCTGATGCGGCCGTCGGTGTCTGAGGGGCCCCCGGCGGATGACCGGAAGGCTTTGCTGGGCATCCTCAAAGCCCTGCTGGTCCTCACGCCTGTTTTCGGGCTGACGTGGGGGCTGGGTGCAGCCACCATGGCCGGGGACAGCTCGCGGGGATCCCACTACACCTTCAGCATCCTGAACTCGCTGCAGGTGGGTGGAGTGGCATCCCTGTCCCAGGCACCAGTGCTCTCGGTGGCGGGGCAGGGGCTCGCATTCAGCCTGGCCTCCACCAAGCAGCTCCAGCCCTGTGATTCTCACCTGGGGGTCCCACCAGCTCCTTGGAGGGGTGCAACACAATATCAGCCCAGCCAGGCGTGCAAACCCCAACCTGTGATTCGCAGGATGACCCCAGAGATTTCAGGGTCCAAGCCATCCTGCCCAGCCTGGGGGCCGGCTGGGCTCTTTGCAGCAGAAGAGCCGCTCTGGGATTTTTCCGTAATGAAGGAACAGGTGAAAGCTCAGAGCCGGCATCTTGCAAAGGGGGCCGGAAACCGCTGCTTTGTCTGGTACCGCTGGCTGCGCAGGCTAAAGGGGTCCCGGCAGCTGGGTCCAGTTGTCTCTGCCAGGTCCCCGTCCCCTCGCGCGCTGGGGTGGAGCTCAGCAAACGGAGACACTGGGAGCTGGGGAACGCGTGGGCGACGCATGAAGGATGCTGACACGGAGCCTCTCAGCCCCTGCCCCCTCTCTCCCTCCCACGCAGGGCGTCTTCATCCTGGTCTTCGGCTGCCTCCTGGACAAGAAGGTGAGCAGCGTCCGGCCTTGGTGGTTCTGGGGCATCTGCCCCCGGCACAAGCCGTGGAGTAACGGGGCCATCTCATGTCCCTCCCAGGTGCGGGAAGCCTTGCTCCGGCGCCTCCACAAGCCGCCCAGTGTCAGGGCCGGCCTCTCACAGGTGAGCGTCAGCACAGCCAGGGATGAGGGTCATGTCCTGGTCTCCCCAGGGCAAGTGCCTGGGGGTGGATCCTGCACCCACAGCCCAGCAGGCTCCGGGGCATCTGCAGCTTTGAGCCCCACTGGGCTATCGGACTCGGCCAGCCATGCCCCTCTGGGTGCACCGTTGTCCCCACGCCGGCCCTGCTGCTTGCCCGGGGGCTCGCGGAGCCGGGCCAGGCCAATGCATTGTTGGGGCATCTTCCTCTCTGTGTTCGCAGAGCAAGAGCGACGGCTTGGACCCGAAGCCCAGGCACTAAGCAAAGTCGAGGTGTGCAGGTGAGGGCAGGTCTGCTGCACCCTTGCATGGTGCTGGCCCCCAGTGCACGCACATGATGCTCTTCTCCCGCTGCCCCACAGCTCCCGTGTCAGGGGTGACTGTCGTTTTGCTCAGAGGTTAGGCACTGGGTTTGTCTGGGCTGGTTTGGACAGAGCTGATCCTGCCTCAGGCGGGAGTTGGACTAGTTGTGACCTGTGCAGCTCCCTTCCAGCCCCACGGCTGTAGGATTTTAAGACCAAAACCAGCTGCAGGTCCTGAAAACGCAGTCTGGAAGAAGGAGAAGGGAAGCCCGAAAGAGCTGGGCTTGAGAAGAGAGGGAGGAGACATGATGCCGCATCAACCATAGAAACGCTTCAAGGGAACAGGGAGGGAGGCAATGGGCTCAAGTTGCAGAGGTTTAGGTTGGATATTAGGAAAAACTTTCTCACGAGGAGGGCGGTGAAGCACTGGAACAGGCTCCCCAGAGAGGTGGTGCAGTCTCCATCCTGGCAGGTTTTGAAGACCCGAGTAGGCAAAGCCTTGGCTGGGATGATGCAGTTGGAGTTGATCCTGCTTGGAGCAGGGGGTTGCACTAGACGTGCCCTCCTGAGCTCCCTTCCCACCGTAATTTTCTATGATGATGTGATTTGTGTGCCTACGACATGCCCTGGAATAGCAGCGGCCCCTTGTTTTGGAAAAGCAGAAAGAAGAAGAAAAAAAATTCTTTCCTTGTTGCCAGGAATTGAGCAGCAGCAGTGAGAGACCAGCCAGCTCCACGCTCGCGCTCTCTGAGGGTCACGTGCAGACTTTACTTTTGCTTTCGCTCAGTAAAGTGATAGAAACTGCTCTTACTGTATTTGCTGCATATAACATGCACCGCACTTTCCAGCAGCTGGGGTTTTTGAAGGTGTGTCTCATATGCAAGAAAATGCAGTTGTTCTCCAGTGGCAGCAATCGCTGATGCCACTGCAGTGCAAAGGTTCAGGCATCTTATCATCTCAGGAAGTGCTAGGAGAAGAAATAACACAGTGTAGAGGATCTCTCAGCATTGTGAGTCCTACCCTGCTCCTCGGCCCTGCGGAGCTAGTGCTATTACTGCAGACCAAGGCCACGCTCCCTGCACAGAGACCATCGCAGGGTTCTCCAAGGAACAGAAAGGAAGCCGGAGCAGGCTGCGTTGCATACACGGGCCCCCCTGGCAGTCCCAGCAGTTCGCTGGTTTTAAAGAAATAGAAACTAGAGACTTCACTCAATTCAGACCGGAAACAAATATCAAAAACACTTGGTTAACAGTGAGGAGGTGTTAAGAGAGGAGTCTGCCCTGAGGACCCCGAAGCAAAGAGGGGTGTTAGCTCTCTGGGTGGAAGTGTCCTGTAGGGTAATTAAATGTTGATGCGCTATTCTCGTCTCTCAAAACTATTTTCCTTTCCGCAAGCCGCGTGCCCGACTCCCTGCTGGAGGTGCATTGTGTCAGCCGAACGGGCCCAGCAGTGCTCTGCTGCTGATACAGCTTGCTAAGCCCCAGCTGAGTTATTAATGACAAGGGTTTCCTCTCTTCCAAACTGCTCCTAATTATCTCCTCTCTGCACAGCAGGTTTCTAGAGACGAAAACAGCTGCCAGGTCTCTGCAGTCCTGGTCCTTCTGTCATAAAAAGATGTTACGGCTTCTGCTCCTGGAGATGAAATCAGGAGCTGCGTTCTTTTTAACTGGGTTTTCTTCCCTTCCAAAAAAAGGGTCTATTCTAACGTGCATTTGTGAAGACATTTTGCACGGTCTGTCGCCTATGCAACGTGCTGCGGGAAGAGGCTGGGAGGGCCAGCAGGCGTCAGCAAAAAGCAGAAATAAACCTTCAGCAAAGCAGCGCGGTCCCGTGACTGTTTTCACGTGGTGCTTTTAAAGCGTGGTTGTAGCAGTGCTGCGTGCGCCAGAGGGAGGGAATAACTGAGCAAGAGCCTGGGGGTTAAATAGGAGGTTGTAGACCCCGGACTGCGCCTGTCAAACAGCACAGTGAAGAAGCTAGGAGGAGGATGCACATGGATCAGGGCTGCGCTCGAGCAAACAATCATGCAGTTGCAGCACAAGAAAGGGCAAAAACGTGGCGTGTACAAGTGGCCGTAGTCATCAGCACCATGGTCCTGGGGACGAGGACGCTAGGCAGGAGAGCTGCTTTTAAACCCTGGCTGTGCGCGTTTAATCCCATCCCTTCCCAGCACACTCCACCTGGGAGCTTTCACGTAGGAGCCGTACAGGGGCTTCTTCTGATGTCTACACGGCATCTGATCATTTTGTTACACACGCTGGTGCTCATTTACTCTATTTGCAAGACCTTTCACTGTGCATGTGCCTTTGGGCATTGCAGCAGGTGTTGATAGCCGGAGGCTCTCTACCACAGTCACAGGTGGTTGAACTAAGTATAGCCCCAGGTATGGTCCAGGGGCTGGTACAACAGGAATCCAGTCTTGATCTGGGCCTGCGGGTACGCCCATACCACAAAGGGAAAGACTGAGGATGGGATCAAAGGCAGGCTGGGAGGCGTGTGAAGTACCTGATATTTAGCACCGTGGTGCTTTCCGTGCGGAGATTTAACGGCGCTGTCACGTCACCTCCTTTTTATGGGCAGACTGTAGTAGAGAGAAACGACTTGCTAAAAATCAGAGAGCAGGTCAGAGCTGGTGCCCTCTGGAGTCCCAGCCTACTGCCCCGTCACCCCACGGTCTTCCCTGGCATAGCACGGGGACATGAGAGCAGCTCCCTGCATGGCAGGTTTCTTGGCAGCCAAGCGTGCTGCGATGGATCCGTCACCACCAACCTGATGAATCGCCTGCGGCAGGCGGGTCTGACAGCTTCTTTACGCAGGGAGGGGAAATCTCCCATGCTTCAGACCCCAGGAGCGTTTCACCTTCTGGCACCAATGATTCATTCAGTGGCTCCTATGAAAGCATCTCCCATTTTGCTTAGCAATACTATTGTAAAGCGTATTACTAGAAAGCACTAGGGCAGCCTCCCCAGAGAGGAAGGAGTCTCCATCTTCAGGGGGTTTCAAAGCCCGGCTAGACAAAGCCTTGTCTGGGATGATGTAGTTGGGGCTGGTCCTGCTTGGAGCAGGGGGTTGGACTAGATGGGACCCCCTGAGGTCCCTTCCCACTCCCATTTTCTATTACTATTCTGGCTGTGATGCCCCCTTTAATCTATGAGTTCAGAAGTTCATCAAACAGTATTTCATAGCATTGCTCACCGCCGGCACGCAAGGGCAGACACAGCGGGTGCCTCGTGGGACTCGTCTCTACCCCACTAGCATGCACGTGGGGTTTGGAGTTGAACAGTCTGGATACAGCCCTCCTGAGCTTTGCTGGTTGCCACACGGGACAGGGAGAAACCCACCTCCCTCACCCTTTTGCTCCATGTGTCAGGGTTGCTAAGCCTCCCTCAGAGGCACTGGGTGTCAGATGCAGCCCAGGCTGGGGACGGAGACAGGGCTGTGCCAATGCAGCCCCGCAGGGTCCTGCCTAGTCTTGCTGCTGTCAGGGCCGACTGTACAGTTTTGCTAAGAGCTTGGAAAAGAGATGCATTGGGCTGGTTTGGACAGGGCTGATTCTGCTTCAGGCAGGGATTGGAGTCGATGCAACTTCTGCAGCTCCCTTCCAGCCTCACCGCTCTAGGATTTCTTTGAACCCTCTCCAAGACCGGTGTGGTTTCAGGTAAGCAACCGAAGCCTGAGGTAAGGAGCTGCGAATTGGCTCAATATTCCAAATGCATCAAGTCAACAGAGGCTGGGGTTGCTCTTCACTTCTAAACATCAGGCCACTTTGGGGCTTATCTTGGCTAGGCTGTCTCAGGCCAGCAACATGGCTCACTGCAGCTTCAGTTGACAGGACCACTGCAGGTAGTAATGTATCAGCTATTCACATCGTATCCAACAGATTTACCGTGCAATGCAACAGCAATGCATTTGGGAGCCAGCATGTGTGTGAAACGTAGCGTACGCTCCTGCCTTATAAAGCTGAGGACAAGCAGCAGCAAGGTGCACACCTTTCTTTCCCATTTTGCCACAGTAGAACTGCCCGGGCATGGCCCATGTCACACAGCTTCTCCATCATCTGTGAGACAACAGCATTATTCCTAAGGTGCAGCCTGCAGCACCGACTGCAAACTGTCTTAACGACAGGACTGCCGAAGGCAGAGACAGAGACTGTGCATTAAATGACCTGGAGCAGATGACGGCTGCAGAAGAAAAAGAGCTGGGGGAAAAGCTTCCAATGAGGCTTCCTAGAAACTGCCAAAGAATCTGTTCCCTCCCAACACCGAAATGGCACAAGCCACAGCCCGTGTGAAGTACTGCAAGATGACTGGGGGACCAAGAGATGACTGAGAGAAAATACAAGCCCAGGCAGGCTGATGCTAAAGCAAGCCTCCCGTTACTTCAGCTGTATGTTCGGCTTGGAGAGCACCGCCCATCTACACAGGGGACAAGACAATGCAACCGAAACCAAGTTTGCTACTGAATGCAAGTCATCTCCCACTGCTGCAAACCGATGTTTCCAGGTGCTACAGAATTTTGCATTGGGCACAAGCTCATATTTGTGGTCAGGGAGCAGTTGCAGGCTGAGGACGGTTTCATAAACGGCATCAGGTAGGCTTTTTTGCTGTGAGTCTTTTTAAACAGGATTCTGAATGACTTCTGTAGCACAGCGTGGAGCCCACGGCAGAGGCCACAGGGCCCCTTATTCTAATTTTACAGGAACCAGAACAGGCCCAACCAGGGATGGTGCCAAGTAAATAAAACCTCAGAATAAGCAGCACTTGAAACCCGCAGCGTCAGCAGCAGAAAAAAAAAATGTCCACTCTGAATTCTTCTCTGGTTTATTAAGGCAGACAAGCGGTGACAGACACTCGTATTTAATGCAGTTAGTCACTTCCCCAGGCTGTCGCACTCTGCAGCAGCCTTCCTTGACACAAACCAATACCGTTTATGTCCTTCTCTTTAAAAGTTACACGCCAAACAGATGGCTGAGCCTACAGACAGATGCAGCAAATCCTCCCCGGTGCAAAACGTCATGCCTCACGCTGGCAAGCTGCATTACCCACTAAGAAATCCTGTCTATAAAACGTTACCGCTGAGCTGTGGTTTGCTACGCAAACCCCCGACGCTGATGTAAGAGCTATGATAAACTTTTTTTCATTGCCAGGGATTAACTAGGAACTATTTACAAAGGCCACCAGAAATCCTTTCCAGGAAGGATCACAAGGATGCTTTTATTAATGCATTGAAATGGCATTGCCTGGCACAGGACACATCCCAGTCCATTCGACTGTCCCTTGCTCCGTTACTGGGGGTAGAGTTCCACAAGCATGGCGTGGCCCTGAAACGGAGGAGAGAAGCACCATTATAGAAAGGCAGTGAGGGGAGCTGGGCCAAGAAAAGAGACTTGCTTCCAGGAGGTGCTAACCATGCCGCTGGAGCAGGAGGACTAACGGAGTCAACTCGGTGCCAGGGCTCTCCAGCACCGGCTCAACTGGCGCCACCCCAGAAGTGCTACTGGGGATGAGAAGGCATTTGCTCCAGGGGAGGGGTGAGGCCTGTCACAGGCTGCTCAAGAGCTACCGAGGAGGCCTGAATAAACCTTGCTTCCACTGAGCCCCAGCTTGCTCTCTCTGCACCTGTTTGTTGCAGACACAGGACTGGTCTGGATGTGGCCTCAAACCACACCAAGGCATTTAGACAAGTCCCCCAGAGCAAGCAGTACAGGGGCTGAACCAGCACTTGTGCAGTGCCTTCCAGACAGGCAGCCTGGAGCACAGAACTGTCTCACCTCTCTTCATGCAGGGATTTTCTGGGGGAAGAACCCTGCTGAGACCAAACCTGGAGGTTCCTGGCTAGAGGGTCTTGCCCCCTGCTCGGGTCAGACCAGTGCCAGGTATGGGGTCAGGAAGGATTTTCCCCCCTAGTCAGATCAGCATAGACTGGGGGGTTTTGCCTTCCTCTGTAGTGGGCGCACAACCTCCACCTGAGATCTCTCAAGAGTAATATTTGCAGCAGCAGGACACTGGCTGCTGTGGTCTCCCTGCTTTCCCTGTGGAAGGGTTGGGTGTGATGTCTGGTGCTGCGTCAGGGCTAACAATAGTTTTGCCAAGAGGCTGGACAATGGATTTGTCTGGGAGGGTTTGAACAGGTCTCATCCTACCTCAGACAGGGGGTTGACCTAGATGGCCTATGGAGGTCCCTTCTGGCCCCACTTCTCCATAATGTTATGATTTCCTAATACCAGCACAAGGAACTTGACTAACCACAGCTTGGTGGGATCTTTGGGACTGGCTGCCCAAGACAAACCCCAGAGCAAAGCGAAGAGGCGGCTACTTGAACTTCTCTCAGGGTCTCTAGACACTGACTGCCACCACTGGCCATCAGCAAGAGGTGGAAGGAGTGACAAAGAGGACCACTGCAAAAGCAAATCCAGCTGTTTCCATTAGGGATGCCTTAAGGAGAGGTTTCAAAGCTGCACTGATGTGCACAGAATCAGAATCCCCGGCACCGAGAGGAACCAGGATTCTTACCTGACCTCCTGCGGCACAGGCAGCGACCAGCCCGTACTGCCCTCCCTCCTTCTTCAGGCGGTGAGCGGCCGACATTACCAACCGGCAGCCGGTGGCACCAAACGGGTGTCCCAGGGACAGGGAACCACCCCAGTTGTTGAACTTGTCCAGAGGAGGGGCTCCAACCTGCAGGAACAAAGGAACGCATGGAAGGCCCCTGCCTAGGTGCTGCCAGGGGAAGCAGTCAGTGCGACGTGTGCTCATCTCTCTCGGTGGCCACTGCACAAGGGCTCCCCGTGCTTACAAGCAACACAGGCCTAAGGCTGCCAGGTTATACGGCAAGGTGGCTAGAGAGCAATTTGTCTCCCCGTCAACTTTACAATCCAAGGAGCACCAGAACAGTGGCCGTGCCTTTGCTGCCTGTGATTTGCCAGTGCCAGAGGTCGCATCTAAGTACCTCTGCAAGGCCTCGGGAATACCAAACTAAAACGGTTAGTCTTCAGGACACAAAACAGCTTCCCTGGACACGCTACCACAAGCCCTGGCATGGCAATGCAGGCCTCCTCTGTGCGTTACTGCCCCCAACGTGCCCTTACCTTAGACTTTCTGCCCATGTAGTTCTGGGCAAACCAATCCGAATCCATAGCTTTCAGGTTAGCCAAAATCTGCCCCTGGAAAGGAAGCAAAGACAACTCAGCAGAGACAGCAGCATCTTTAGACAAAAGCGCAGAGCAGAATGGGAGCAAAGCAGCAGTCTCTGTACCCTGAGTTTCATCAGGACGAGAAGAGTTAATGTCACCAGCTCCTGGGAACCTCATTTATATGGGCCACATCACAAAAAGATCACAGCCCAGACAGAATAAAGTGGCCTGATCAACTCACCACGCTGCCCACTCAAGACAAACCAAGTACACAGATTACTTGTGCACAAGCCATTGTTGCATAAGATAACTGTCTCTCTCTACATAATCCTCTATCTGATGAAAGCAGCTTAAGAGCATATTCTATCTGCACATGAAAACAAAGTCTAGAGCAAGGCCTTAACTGCTGAAGAAGCCAGACAAGCCACTCAGTACTGCTGGACCTGTGACTTCCCCTGCGCACACTCTGCTGGAGATACTTACGGCAAAAGCTTCGTGGAACTCAAACACGTCGACATCAGCCAGCGTCAGGCCGGCCTTCTGCAGCACTTTGGGAGTCGCATACGTCGGGCTAAGGGGAAGCGTTATAAGAACAGGTTGCATTGATGCATGCTCACCATGGAGTCAACCCCCTTCCCACCCCCCATCTGCCTACTGCGCTCCTGGCCTGAGCTGGAGTTTTTCACCCACCCCACACAGGCTGAGGCAAGCGGACTGCTCCATTTCTAGAGCTAGCGTTCATCTGCCTTTTTCTGCTGGTCAGGGGAGTGGAGACCCTAAGGCTGATCAGCTGCATTTCACCACACTCAGCTTCTCAAGCTCTCTCAGCATGACTACTCCGACTTCCTGCTTGGGGAAAGCTGTGAACACTCATGTCCACGCCATAAACCTGAAGGGCACACATGAGTCTACTGTGACTCTGACGTTGCAGCCTTCGCCTCAGCCCCTTCCCTCTCCACAGCATGTTCATACTCAGGTCCTCTGGGGCAGGGCCAGCTCGAGGTTTTGGCAGGGGGATCCCAAACCCCATGAGGCATTCAGCATCACAGCAAGCAAAGGATTCAGCACTAGCAAGTGACAATACCCAGCAATTCGAAGTGTCTGACAGCACCAACCACCTCCCATCACCTACCCCAACAGGAGCTGGTCCTTTGGATCCTGGGACACGTACACGAAGTCCCTGCACAAAAGAAGCGCTGTTAGAACCGGAAGGGGGAGAAAGTGAGGAGCGTTCAGAAGGCAGAAGAGATGGTTCCTCTCACCTAAGGTAGGCCTTTGGTTTATAGCCCATCGCCAGAGCCTTCTCCTCAGACATGAGCAGGACCGCCGAAGCACCGTCCGTCTGAAACAGCCAGAAGGTCCCAGTCAGCGACTACACAAGTACTCTCATACGGTGCAAGCAAGACAAGTCGCTTACTACATGTCTGTGCAGGGCCCAATCTTGGATGCCCCTTCCAGAGGCACTACTGTAGTGCAAATGCACAACTGGTATTTACACTTTCACATAACCAGGCATCAGCAAGCTAGTGTCAAAGGGAGGCTTCAGGCAAGAAAACAGCTGGGGAGAATCCATCTCCCAAGAAAACAGGAAGAAGCCTGCTCACCGGACAAAGAACAAGCTGAAATACCAAGTAACCATCAATCAGTCATGCATTGGCGGAGGCAGATGGACACAATGACCTGTGACTGGCAGTTCAGGCAGCAACGATACAAAGATGTGGCTCTTCACTCAATTTTCGGCAGGATGCAGGTCTGTGTAGGCACCATTTTGGCAGCTGTCTGCTTGCACGGTTTGGGTTTCATAGCTGTACAATTGTTGCATCTGTGCAATGATTACTGCTGTTGAACTGCACAGTGTGCTCAGGACACGGATACCAGGTTGTCTGAAGCAGAGATTACTTCCACAACAACCTACAGATTCGCAGTGCACCTTCAGCATCCAATATATGACTAAATATATATCCAATATATAATTGAAGAACTGCTATTCCCCTATGGGTCCCTTGAAGCTCCAAGCAGTGAATATTGGTACATACTTGAGAAGGCCCACCATAACTTTATAGCCTGAAGAAAGAGCAGGCTTATCCAGAACATGAGGAGAGCTTATTTTTAGCCAGTACAGACATTCCTTTGTGCTGCACATAAGGATAAGATCACCACCTTTGAAAAAAAACTTTCAAAAGCTTCCAGAATCACAGAAAATGAGGGTGAAAGGGACCTCAGGAGGTCACATCTAGTCCAACCCCCTGCTCCAAGCAGGACCAGCCCCAACTACATCATCCCAGCCAAGGCTTCATCCACCCGGGTCTTCAACACCTCCAAAGATAAGAGATTCCAAAATCTCTCTGGGGAACCTGTTCCAGTGCTTTACTACCCTCCTAATGAAAAAGTTTTTCCTAATATCTAGGAAAAAATCTCTCACTAGGAGGGTAGTAAAGTACCAGAACAGGCTCCCAGCTGAGCAAGAGCAGCTGAGCACCCAACTCCCAGTGACAAGTCCCACTTGTGCCTTTGAGAATCTCCCCTTTGCCCTCCTCCAAAGGCAACTAAAATGAAGCCAATGGGCAAAGCATTCTAAAAGCTTCACAGCTCACATGCCTGGGTTGTATTTCTTCCACTGAATTTACCCAAGCGCAAGTGTCATTTTACAGTCCCGCTATAAGATCTGAAAGCAGCAATACCGCAGAAAAGCCAAAGTCTCAGAAACGCACAGCAGGGAGAACGATCCCTTGTTCTCACGCGTATCAGCACACAAGTGGGCAGCAGGGAACATTACCAGGAAGGAAGAGTTGGCAGCCGTAACCGTCCCATAGGGCTTGACAAAAGCAGGCTTCAGTTTGCCCATCTGCTCCATTGAGGAAGGGCGGACTCCATTATCTTTGGAAACAGTATCTCGGCCTGTTGAGAAAACATTGTGATTTCAATCTGGATTCCCAATCAGAGCATACAGCGGGGATGTTTCAGGTACATATAACATGAAGATTCCTTCACTTAGACTAAATTTTTTTTAAAAGTACATGCATTTCTCTTTCAAAATAAATCTACTGGAATTTAAGGTTCTGACAACCTATGTTAAAGCTTACATTTACCATACTCTATCTAATTTAATAAACCGAAAACATATCCAAGCAGCTTGTGTTTGCTGCTAAAATTTTCAAGAAAGTCCAACCACCGATCTAGCAAAAGCCTCTGGCTGAGAACTAGAAACACAAATTTGCTGAAAGGCTAAATTTTTAAACAGGAGCAGTGCCGCGCCGCCCCGCCC